AAGGGTTTTGTCGATGGCGTGTTCCTGGTTGAGAGCAACGGTGTCGAGAGGAGAGGTGGTGAGTGACAGGCCGAGAGGAGAAGAAGAAGATAGAGTGATGAGAGGTAAAGTGAAGACAAAGTGATGAGAGGTAAATGAGAGAGAGAGAGAGAAACGTGGACGTGGCTTTGAGAGAAGCGTGAAAAAAGGAGGGGGAGAGAGAGACAGAGATGGCTTTGAAAGAGAGAGGCGTGGATGTGGGTTAACTGACTTGGGGCAAAACTGATAAAAGATGTTTATGGACGGGAATCTGAAATCCTTAGATTTGTTCATACATTTTTGAGCGTTGGATGTTGTTATTAAAAGTCATTTCAGTCGTTCAAATGTTCTAGTAAGACAAATTCAAAAACCCTTCTGTATAAAGTGGCGTAGCAATGGAGAGTTGCTGTATGTGGTAGATATGTTATTTTTGGCGGCGACAGAGGAGGAAGAGGGAGAGGACATGAAAAGAGAGAAAGGGTTTTGTCGACGGCATGCTCCTAGCTGAGAGTGACGGTGTTGTGAGGAGAGGTGGTGAGCGGCAGGCCGAGAGGAGAAGAAAAAGACAGAGTGGTAAGAGGTAAAGAAGAAGATAGAGTGATAAGAGATAAATGAGAGAGGGAGAGAGAGAGAGAGAGAGAGAGATAAGCATGGACGTAGATATGGGTTTGAGAGAAGTGTGGAAGAGAGAGAGAGAATAGTGGAATGATAAAAGATGAGAGATAGAGAAGGGTGGATGTGGGTTAACTGACTTTGGGCAAAACTGATAAAAGATATTTATGGGGAAATTTGAAATCCTTAGATTGTTTCATACATTTTTTAGCGTTGGATGTCGTTATTAAGAGTCACCTCAGCTGTTCAAATGCCTTAGTAGGACAAATGTGTGTAGAACAAATTCAAAAACCCTTTTTTCTTATTATATAGATTGCCATTTTCTTCATGCTTTAAGTTTGTGTGCTGCGATTAATTTTATCAGTAATTGTTTTGTTGGATTATTTTTTTCATTCTTAATAAATTTTTTTAATAAAACTTTTATACTTTTAGGCTTATTTAAACCCATTAGAAAAATAAAAAAAAAATAAAAAAATCCTCATTATTGACAAAACAAAAGCGAAAAAAACTTATTTTTTGTTTTTTGTTTTTTTCATTTAGTGAACTTTATTTATATTTTATTTATTTATTATTTTTTAGATCTTTTACACCAGACAATGTGCAAAGTAAAATAATTTTACACAAATTAAAAGTAAAAATACTAAAAAAAAGTGACCTTATTTATTTTTTTTGAGAAAATTACAAAAAAAATTATGGTTTCACTCTTATAACAAAATAAATTCTAAATTTTAAATTTTGTCATTTTAAACCTTAAACTTTTGATTTGTTTTCAATATAAATTATTTGTCTATTTTTATTAAGGTTCCGTTTGTTTTGACAGAAAATATTTTTGTAGAAAATATTTTACTTATTTTCCGTTGTTTGGTTGAATAAAAAGTAAGTAAAACATTTTTCAGGGAAAATATTTTTGCATCATTTTTTTTTCTAAAATGACTTGGCTTCAAAAATTTCGTGAAATTGACTCTCATTCACTACCTTTTCAATATATTTACCCTTTTCAAATAAATATCTTATAGCTCACTAAAAAGTCATGAATGACACTTTATTGAATCAAAACTTCTCTTTTAAGCAATAAAATGTTTTTATTTCAAGTGTCAACCAAATGTCAAAAAACAAAATCAAAAACATTTTTTGTGTAAAATATTTTACGTCAAAACAAATGAAACCTAAGTAAAATCAACCGAAAAAAAATATTTTAGTCATTAAACTAAACGAAAAAGGGTATTTTAATCATTTTATGTATATGGCATTGAGTTTAATAACCGAAATATTTTTTTCATCGATTTTATTTAATGAGAATAGACAAATGATTTAGATTGAAAATAAATATTAAATTTTAAATTGACAAAATCAAAAACTGAAGATTTCTTTTGTTATAAGGTTTAAACTAAGAATATAAATAATTGTTTGTAATTATTTTATAAATACATGAAATGTATTTCTCATTAGTTCCTCTTTCTTTCCCGCTCATTTCAAATCTCTTAAGGTTCAACAATGACTTTTGTAACTTTATTAATGAACATCGATGGATGATTTTTTTTTTATTTTTTATTTTTTATCATGATAGGGATTTTTTATCATGATAGGGATTTGAAATGCAACTGATAAAGCCCTGGTCTGGTGTTATCCAAGTTGAAGATCATAAAGCATGAATCTAATGGATCAATGGTATCCAATCCTTACAAGTAAGGCCTTCTTTTGGGAAAGAAATGAAGGACCTCAAGCGATGACAAGGTGGTATGTTACTATGCCAAGTCATCGACAATGCTGTAGCTATATCCTATAGGCATTCCTCGCATGTGTGTTATGAGCAATGCACTTCAGAGGTTCCTTTAGTACATGTGGTGCAATGCATGGTTGCTACGAATGCATGGTATTTGCAAGGGATTTTGGATTCCATAGATTTCCCGCATGAATGAATCGAAATCATATAAGTGATTAAGGCTTTATTTGTCATAATTTAAAAAAGTCAAAAAGTCAAAAAATGTACTTATTTATATCATCCCAAACCACCCTTAAAAAAATTATGCCTGTTAAAAAAAAAATGATTCTATCTATAAAAGCATTCTAAGATATTCATAAGCTTTGCATACAATTTTCATAATATTTTCTAAACTAATTTTTATCAAATATGTAAATACGCATCAAATTATTTGTATGATACACTAAGTGCTTCTTACATGTATTTATAAATATTATAGTATAAATTTAACAAATAGAGAACGGTTTGATTTGGTTTTTTTGAATTTTTTGAGCTGTAATTTGGGATCCGAACCAAATCAACGGTCCTTAATTACTTGAATATATAGAAACTTAAACATCTCAAAAAGTTAAATCAAATTATACAATTTGAACTAGTCCAGTTCAGGTTAACATTTCATTGAAATTTATTGACACCACTAAACAATGAATAGCTCCAAATATATGTGATATATGTGATATTTATTTAGATTCACTAGGGTCATTTTGTTAAAATTGACACCACTAAACAATGAATAGCTCCAAATATATGTGATATATGTGATATTTATCTAGATTCACTGGGGTCATTTTGTTAAAATTGACACCACTAAACAATGAATACCTCCAAACACTGGGATCATTTTGTTAAAATCCAAATCTATTAAACAAAATTTCATATATATTTAAACAAAATTTAAAAGTTCAGTGGTGTCAATTGACACCACTAAATTAAACATAGCCCCGCCCTTGTTTGCTGCTATCCCTTGAGCACGGGAAGATAAAGAATAGGAGCTCCAATAATTCCACTGTCCCTTGGGGGCCTCTCAATACTCAATAGAAGAAGTAGAGGCCCCATAGTTCACAACTTTGTTATTAATACGATTGATTGTGTATTATACAAGGTGTACCTCAAGCTGAGTTATCAAGTCAAGTTTTGGATTTCTTCCTATGTTAATGACTGGTAGATAATCCTATCTTTCTGTTCTGAGTGAATTTTTTTCTTCAAGTTAACCAAGGCTAAGTTCTAGCTTAACTTAAGTGCACTTATAGCTCAATAAGGTATTTGATTCTCTCCGTTCCAAAGGACTGGTCTTGGGGCCCTCTTTCCTAGTAATTGGGTAGCTAACTAGATTATGAGACTACCCTTTTCGAGGATGATTTGTGAATTCGACATACAAAAAGGCTTCTCTCGAGTTTTCACTTGGTTTTCCTTTATTTTATGGTTGGACCAAAGGTGCTAGTTTGTTGCATATGGCAACGAGCCTTCTGGTTTTTTTTTTTTTTAATTTTTAGTGGATCTAATCCAGATCCAAATCTAGTATACATTCAAGAATAAGAATGTCTCTTGAGCTTGAAGCTATGCGGTCTAGAAGCCTTCATTGATATAAAGGGTTAGTCTTACGTGCGGTTTGAAAAAAAAAAAATCGAATATAAAAGTGTTGATCACCCACACTAGCACTTGATAGTTGCTAGATGAGCTCAACACACAAAAGCCATTTCATTTTTTAGTGGTTTCTTTGTTGAAGAAATACAGGAAAATAATAATATGTTCTCCTACCCCTTTGAGGAGTTTTTACTAAGAATTTGACAGAATTTTTCCAGGCAAAAGCTTGTCCCTCCATTCCATCCACATGTTTGGAATGAGACAAAATAAGTTCTAAGTGCCGATCTTCCTATGTTATCCTACTCGCTAAGTTATTTGTTTTTTGTCATCCCTATCCTACTAGTAGGAAGGGTGTCTAGAAAACTAAGAGAATAGATAGTAGGCCTTAGAACATCTCTATCAAATTAATTATTTTTTATTTTTTAGTTAAAATAGTAAGTAAATCATCAAATTTTAATTCCACCAAACTAGTTATTAAGTTAGCTATTTTAGTTTTTGTCGGTTTGACTTAACCAATGTAACTAGTTGTTTAGACTAATCAAACATTAAAATATATTACTTTATAAAAAATAATTTTAAATTAAAATTAATAAAAATAATATTTAAATAACATGACAAAAGAATATAGAGTTTGATGGAATATTTAAAATGTGTATAGCCAAAATATAAAAAGTAACTGTTAAATCAAAATATAACTAATTTGATTCTAGGATAAAAAGTTTACATAAAATATAAATTGCCCTATATATTTTTAGAAATTAGAAATTACAAATATTCCATTATCATAATTTAACAGAATTAACATAAAAAAAAAATTTAACTATTTTTTTATATAATTATAAAATTACTTGAATTATTAATTAAAATATATTTCTAATATCACTAAAAATTATTAATTAAATTGATAATTTATTTGTCACTAATAAAATGAGTAATTAGAAAATTGAATGTAATTTCTAAATGATACTAATTAAATTGATAATTTATTTGTTACTAATAAAATGAGTAATTAGAAAATTGAATGTAATTTCTAAATGATACACAAATAAGAGCACTCGATCTCTCTGAACCTAGGAATTCTAGGGTTTATGAGCAAATCCACAAATCAATGTCGATTCCTCGCGAACTCTACCCAAGTGACGAGGATCTATTGTACGAGGAAGAACTTCTTCGCAACCCCTTCAGCTTGAAGCTATGGTGGCGCTACCTGGTCGCTCGAACCGAATCACCCTTCAACAAACGAGCTGTGATCTACGAACGAGCTCTCAAAGCCCTACCTGGAAGCTACAAACTCTGGTACGCTTATCTTCGCGAACGTCTCGAACTCGTTCGAAATCTCCCCATCACACACTCACAGTACCAAACCCTAAACAACACATTCGAAAGAGCACTCGTAACAATGCACAAAATGCCTCGAATTTGGATCATGTACTTGATTACTTTAACTGAGCAAAAGCTCGTCACTCGCACTCGACGCACTTTCGATCGGGCTCTCTGCGCCTTGCCGGTGACGCAGCACGATCGAATTTGGGACCCTTATTTGGTTTTCGTGAGCCAAAAGGGTGTCCCAATTGAGACTTCACTTAGGGTTTATCGGCGGTATTTGAAGTATGACCCTGCTCACATTGAAGATTTTATTGAGTTTTTGATAAATTCTAGTCTTTGGCAAGAGGCGTCAGAGAGATTAGCTGGGGTTTTGAATGATGACCGGTTTTATTCAATAAAAGGAAAAACGAAACATAGGTTGTGGCTTGAGTTGTGTGATTTGCTTACGCAGCATGCCAGGGAGGTTTTGGGGTTGAACGTAGATGCGATTATTAGGGGAGGGATTAGGAAGTTTACGGATGAGGTTGGGCGGCTTTGGACTTCGCTTGCTGACTATTATATTAGGAGGAATTTAGTGGAGAAAGCAAGGGATATATTTGAGGAGGGGATGACTACAGTTGTAACTGTTAGGGATTTTAGTGTAATTTTTGATGCGTACTCTCAGTTTGAAGAGAGCATGCTTGCTCTGAAGATGGAAGAAGAAAGTGAGGATGAGGAAGATGATGGTGAAGAAATTGCTGATGAGGATGATGATGAAGATGACCGTTTGGATGTGGCAAAGCTTGAGAAGAAGCTTAAAAGATTTTGGTTGGGTGATGATAAAGATGTTGATTTGAGGTTGGCGAGGTTGGAACATCTCATGGATAGGAGGCCTGAACTGGCTAACAGTGTGCTTCTTCGCCAAAACCCACATAATGTAGAACAGTGGCATCGGCGAGTAAAACTTTTTGAGGGTAATCCCACAAAGCAAATTCTGACATACACTGAGGCAGTGAGAACTGTTGATCCCATGAAAGCTGTGGGGAAGCCTCATACATTGTGGGTTGCTTTTGCCAAGTTGTATGAGAATCACAAGGATATTGCCAATGCAAGAGTTATTTTTGATAAAGCAGTACAAGTCAACTACAAAACCGTTGATAATTTGGCTAGTGTTTGGTGTGAATGGGCTGAAATGGAGCTTAGGCACAAGAACTTTACGGGGGCTTTGGAGTTGATGCGGCGTGCGACAGCAGAGCCGTCAGTGGAGGTCAAACGAAGAGGTAATTCTTACCTTTCTTTATTCATTGATGATTTCTTATAATTATTTGTTATTCTCTAGACATTCATGGATTGGCAAATTTCTATGTCAATTAGTGTACTCCATTGTTGCTCTTGATTATATTATCATACTTCTATTTGATGCCAAAACTTGTAAAATCAAAAGCAAACCACAAAATTGTAAAAGATTGTATTTGAACTGACTAAAAATTTCAATTGAAAATTGAAGTATTTAGTTCCCTTCCCTTTTTTTCTCTTCATTTTTTAAAGAGAACATAGGAAATATAAGAATATGTGTGTATGAAAAATAGTAAGATAGAACCAATACTATGCATATTTATCCTAATGCAAATATATATTTGGACCAAGTATGATATAAAAATAAAAAATATATATAATCTTGTGCAGTGTTTTAAAAGGTGCGCCTGAGGCGCCTTAGATAGCTTGAGGTGAGGCGCAGTAGGAAAGGCGCATTTGAAGCGCTTGAGGTGCGTGCCTTAGGCTTAGGCGCGAGGTGCACATCTCATGTGCTTTATTTAAATTTTTACTCCATCCTTATTCTTTGTGTGTGTAACCATATGGAATTACAACCCCTGTAATATAAAATGTAAACACTTGCTTTAAGCCCTAATTTTCATATCAAAAAAAGCTCTAGCCATTAAGCAAAAGCTCTGGGATTGCAAGATGGATATATGGCTTTGGGATTCGATTCAATGTAGTAAATTATAACAGTTTCGAGCCAATGATTGAAGCTATCAGGCAATTTAGTCTTGATTCAAAATTAAAACCACTAAGGTATTATATGGTTTGAGTTCCTCATCTAAAAAAAAAAAAATGAATCACGTTAATAAATTGATTAAAGAAAGATAAATAGTATAGGGCAAATTAAGATTAAATGTTATTTTTGAGAAATGTTTGAAACTTTGAATGTTATTTTTCATGATTTTTGGAATATTGAATGTTGTTTTATTTATTTATTTATTTATTGAAATTCTAAAAATATTTATTTTATGTTGAAAATTTCGCCTATATTAATATTTTGGTTATCTTCAACAACTTGCGCCTGCGCGCGCCTCGCCTTGTGCCTCATGCTTAAGCTCCAAAAGACCTTAGCGCCTCAATGCGCCTGGAGCTTTTTAAAACACTGATCTTGTGACCAAAGTAGTAGTCATGTCTCAAAATGCAAGTTTTGATAAACTATACCTTTCTACAAGCTGTTGAGATACTTTTTGCTTGTTGGCATCATTGCCACCCAATCATTTTATCATTTTTTTAATTATCAAAGATGAATTTCATTTATAAAATTCCTTTTGTGAACATATTTTTTTCTCTAATGTTTTGGACCTCCATTGATGCCATTGATCATTATATCTAGTTTTTATGTCGTGCTTCTTTTGCCCATAGTAGATTAAATGTTCCTTTATGCATGTTATCACGAGCTTATGTTGATTCATACAGTTACATATAGTAGATTATAAGTATGTTCCTTTTGGTGCATTTGTTGATTCTGACAGTTGCTAAATTAAATCTAGGTTAGCACAAACAAAGTCTTCTATGGTCTCGTCATCTACTAAGAATGTGAATTTGGAGTCTTAAAATTATGAGAGTTGGGTTTTGAAAATCAAGATACTGTTTTTTCAAATGTGAACTTTGGAGTTCTAAAAATACCAATTAATTCTTTGCAATTATATAAAAAAATCATATCCTTATTTTAACGATATGATTTACTTTTTTTTTCTAGTAAGATATGATTTACTTTTTGGATATGGTGCCTTTATAAGTAAAAAAAAAATAAGTAATGAAGTTTAGTATTTTAAAATGACGAAGTATGCACTTAAACATTGATCAACTGTTAGCTAGTAAGATTTTCCAAAACATATCTTGAAAGAATAATTTTTGGATAAAAAATAAGGGGACTATCATATAAATGGACAGTGGGAAAATTAATTGCAAATCAACAGAGAAAATCATTACTGCAGTTTGTGACTCCTAATTATTAAGATGTTAGTGGGAGTTACAACTCATTCATCTCACGAGGTATTTATAGAAATTTTGATTTTTGATAATTTTGTCCTAGGAATGACCCAAATTTTCTAAGTCCCTTTATTCCAATGTAATCAAAGTTTTGCCATAAGTTCAATTATAATCAAATTGCCCCTAGTTTGCCATAAATTCCAATGTAATCCTTGAGTCAAGGAGTCAAGTCTAGCCAAGCAAGACTCCCCTTGCCAATGCTACAACCTTAGATGTACTAAAACAAGAATAGATATTAGATGGAGTCTTATTGATAAAAATTGCTTTCTCCAAGAATCACTGAGCCACACTCTACAACTAGGCTCAAGTAGCTCTTAGGGCTCAATCATGTAAAGTGAAATTTTTTCGTTCTTTTTTTAGCCTAGGGTTACCATCATTTTTCACTTCAGAATTTATTTCAATTTGATATTTTCCAAATTCATTTGTTCTATACGAAGTTTTAAAATACGTCATTGAGGCTCGCCGCAAGATGAGACTAAGGCAAAAAGTATTGAGGCTTTGATTTTTGGGCGAAACTTCTCAAAGACTTGTGCAGCACAGTCTGAAGCGTGTGTTTTGGGTTGTTGGTAAACTTGGTCTAATGTATCGTTTAAACATAAAATTGAAGAACATATTTCGTAACTATATTCCATAGGAAAAATCAAGTAAATGGCCAACCAAAAAAAAACACAGAGCTAAGGCTTTTTTGAAGAGCTCAATAATCGAAGTTAAGAATGTTGATGTCACAAGCGATGACAGCAAGATTCCTTTAACTATAGTGAAATGTTCTATGCTTTGAACAAAATTATTTACACCTTTATATTTAGTTTATAATATTTTTTAGTATTTAAGAATATTTTATTTATTTACTAAATATGAAAATTCAAAATTCGAAATACTTATGCCGCGATGCTTAGGGGTTTACACCTTGCCTCATGAGGGGTAAAACGCTTTGCATTGTGTATGTGCCTTTAACAACTTAGGTTATATAATATTACCTTGGTAGCTCTATATGGTCCATCAATACTTCCACAGCTAATTGCCCCTTTTTTTGTGCGTCTGTTGTGAAGTTTGGAAGTGTATTTTTAATTGAGTTTTTGGATAATTAGTATACACAAATGGTCCATTGTCTCACATACCTTAGTATACACAAATGGTCCACATTATGCTCTACATTATGTTCTTTTTAGTTTCTACTTAAGTTGGATTTTTAGTGATCAGGCATTTGTTGAATTTTAACTAACCTTTGTCTTTTGATCTATATGTTTTTGCATGCAGTGGCTGCTGATGGCAGCGAACCAGTGCAGATTAAGCTTCACAAATCCCTGAGGCTTTGGACTTTCTATGTTGATTTAGAGGAAAGCCTAGGTACCTTGGAGTCGACTCGTACGGTTTATGAACGGATATTGGATCTAAGAATAGCCACGCCACAAATCATAATTAACTATGCTATGCTTTTGGAGGTAAGAATCTTCCTTCTACTGTCTTGCTATTATCTGTCTAGTGTGTGAGCATGAAAACTAATGATTTAAATTGGCTTTCCCAGGAACACAAATACTTTGAGGATGCCTTCAAGGTATATGAAAGAGGCGTGAAGATTTTCAAATATCCACATGTGAAGGACATATGGGTCACTTACCTTTCCAAGTTTGTTAAAAGATATGGGAAATCAAAATTGGAACGTGCGAGAGAGCTGTTTGAGCATGCCGTTGAAGTGGTATGCACATTAGTCTTCTCTTGATCCTTGTATAATAAGCACAGTTACCTATATGTTTCAGCCACTACTTGCATTGTCCTTAGTTGCCTAAAAGCTGTTGAACTGTTGAGTAATCCTGAGTTGTAAGTTGTCTATGGAGGTTGAACTGTATTCAAAATTTCCTCTGGAGTTGTAAATTGTCTATGGTAAACTTCTGTTCTGGTCAACAGTTAGATTGAATTAAATAAACGAGTATTTGCTGACTTGGCTGGTTGGCCATAAGGATATTTGTGGACTGTTCTTACATGTGGTCCTGTTTGCCTTGGCTGCTTTATATCTCTGCCTGAAATTATTTTCTTGGTGTGCTGATATAAGGTATCTTTCATCAGTTGGATGATGTTTAGTATATGTTTTAAGTCAAGTTGTGGTCTAGGTTATGAGGACCTTCTCATTAGTGTGATAAAAAGGTAAAGGTAAGGAAGCATTATAGGTGATAGGAGGTGGACTTGTTAGCTTCCATGCATATAATAAGGTTGCAAGTAGGTAGGCTATATTGGCAGTGATCTGATGGATTATGGTTATCATAGGAAGAAGATGAGGTGGTTGATCATTACTACTTAACAGTAATGACATATAATTTACAAAGTTTGTTCATAATACTCGAAGATTCTTAGCTTTATGAAGTTAACATGTCAGGTTATCTTTCATGTAGTAACAGCAGATTGTAAATTTGAGCCTGAGGAATGAGCCAAGCTAGCTCAGAAGATATGAGCATCCATCATAGAATTTGTATAAATTCAAATGTAATCTATATACTAGCTGTATCAAGTAAGATCCTGCTCAGGCAAATTTTAGGGGAATTACTAGGAAAACCTGATCCTTTACTTCACTTACTGCTCCCACCAGTTTCTGTCCTTTTGAATTGTTAATGTAGCATTTTCCTATAGACAAAATTGTCTCTCTTTATTAAGGTGTATTTATATTGTCTACAATCATTGTGCTTTTGAGTTCAATGGTGATAAAATGTTCTCTTTTTATTTGCTCTAGGTGCTATGAATTATTGATCATGCTGACTTTGTATCTTTTTTTTTTTAAATCTTATTGTCTATCAGGCCCCTGCTGAATCTGTGAAGCCACTGTACCTACAATATGCTAAACTAGAGGAGGATTATGGTCTAGCAAAGCGAGCGATGAAGGTTTATGATCAAGCTACAAAGGCAGTCCCACCCTCTGAAAAATTGAGCATGTATGAGATCTACATAGCTCGTGCTGCCGAGATATTTGGGGTTCCAAAAACAAGGGAAATATATGAGCAAGCAATAGAATCTGGTCTTCCAGAGAAAGATGTGAAGACCATGTGCATGAAATATGCAGATCTTGAGAAGAGCCTTGGAGAAATAGATCGTGCTCGTGGAGTTTTTGTGTATGCATCTCAGTTTGCTGATCCACGATCAGATCCTGATATCTGGAACAAATGGAACGAGTTTGAGGTGCAGCATGGAAATGAAGACACCTTCCGAGAAATGCTACGTATCAAACGGAGTGTTTCTGCAAGCTATAGTCAGGTTGGTTATGCTTTCTTTCCTTATATTTTGTCTTTTTCCCGTGCCTCTTTACTGGCAAAGGAATCATTTTTTTGTAGACATTTTACTTTGTTTCAGAGAGTTACAACTGCATTGACTTGAGTGCCTGTCTGCATCTTGTGTTGGAAACAATTTTAATCGGATTTTCTGGGGAAAATTTTACTTGGATCAACTCATCAGAGAATGTTGACAAGATATCAAATAGAATGAGTTTTAGTTCCACTTAAATGGACTACTAATTAGCTTCTGTAAAAGAATTGTGCAACTAAATACTAGCATTTTCGTAATGGAGCCTAGTTGATAGTTTTTCCTAAAAAATTATTTCATGTTAGCACACAAAACGTTTAAGATGACTAGCATGAATGAGCCAGATTGAACACAACCTAGACTCTTAATCATATAGACTGACTTTGAGGTCTGGAGGAGAATTGGCCATTCAATCTTGTGAACTAATTGAGACTGAAATTGGAAAAAGAGATATATCAAAGGAGTATAACCAATCGATGAAAGAACATGAAACCATTCTGTTTCAATAGAGGTATTAGAAGTGATTGTGGGCCATGAAGTAGGTGAAGTGGTTGTTTTTTGCGATCTGTTCCAACCACTGCTGGATGTGATTCCAAGAGCCAAACGAGAATAGAAGAGTCAACACCAGGCTCCCTACTAGAATGTTTTAGGTAGCGCTTGGTAGAGCTTTCTAAATATGATTTGAGAGTATGAGTTATATTTTGAGTTTGTGAGTTTTGGAATTATGATTTGAGTGTAGAAAATTTGTTTGGTGAAAGAGTTTTGAATTGAGTGGGAAATTTTTGATGTGACATATGATATTTGATACAAAAACTTACAACTCATAACCAAACACACAATTCAAAATTCTATTAAAGCTCATGAAAATTTTTTAAAAAATTAAAAAATATTTTTTTTGAATATATAAAAATTAATATGTGTCTTGCAAAAAAAAAAAAAAAAATTGTATTGTTCCGGTCAACCGGCCGGACGACCGGTTAGTCCAAATTTTCTCGCCTTCGACCGAGTTTTCAAAAATGAGTGTGAAATTAATTTTTGAAACTAGTAAACAAACATCATGTGTAAAATAAGCCCTGGAACTAACGTTCCAAAGCTGTACCAAACAAAGCCTTAGCTTTACTTATTTATTGTTTTGCTTGCATTATATTGAATAAGAAAGAGCGGTGATTTGTGTTTTTGTTTCTATTTGCTCATGTACTTAACTTGTTACTCATCATAATTTTAATCATTCTTCCAGACACATTTCATCCTTCCTGAATATTTGATGCAAAAGGATAACAACCCAAATCTTGACGAAACCATGGACGCATTGAAAAAAGCTGGGGTTCCTGATGATGAAATGGCTGCGCTAGAGAAGCATTTAGTGCCTACAGCCAATGACACTGCTACCACAGATGGTACCCGCAAAGTGGGTTTTGTGAGTGCTGGAGTGGAAACCCAGACAGACGGAAATCACGAGAATATCGAATTGCCCGAGGAGAGTGATTCAGAGGATGACGGAAGAGTTGAGATTGCAGAAAAAATTGTTCCTTCGGCCGTTTTTGGTAGTTTGGTTCGGAAGCGGGAAGAGGAAGGTGATAATGATGGCAATGGAGACGACACCGCTGCTGTGAAAGATAAAGATGGTGATACTCGTCTCGGTGCCCTGGAGAGAATAAAAAGGCAAAGGAGGGCCGGATAGGCGGTAAATTTACACTTACCTCCCCTTGAGGTTTAGCGTAATTGCAACAATCACCCCGTTGGTTTTTAAAATTACGCTAATCTTCCCTTTCTTTTTCCGATATTCCTTCTGTTGTCATTTATTGTGTAGATTGTGTTAAATTTTGAGATAAAATGACAAAAATACCCCTCTCATCTTCTCTATATTTCTTCCTCTACTAATTCAAAAAAAATTTATTAGTATTATTTCTCAAAATAATTAATTTTCATAAACAAAATTCAAAATAGTTATATGTATTTTTAAGATAACTTTTTATTAAAAATAGGTATTTCAAATTTTTATAAAAACTTAATTTCTCAAAGTAGGTATTTCTTGACAATTTTTTTTATTACTAATTATTTCTATACATAAAATATAAATTGGTGGTCTTTTAAAAAAAATAAAAATTGATATTTTTTATATTTTGTTTTGTAATTTTCAATTAAAAGATTGTATTTAATTTAGTATAAGGTTTGATGATGATCGATTTGTTGGTTTTTAATGTGTGGTTATTATACTATATATATACGTTGATTATTATATGGGTCTTGATTACATGCAACGAAATGAGCAATGATTTCTATTTATTGTTTAAACACCTTTATTGATCTAAGTTAGGGTTTAATAACAAAGGTGAGACATAATATGTTAATTTCAAAATTTTATTTATTTATTTAATTTTTTTTATAGATTCATACATATATATTAAATACTTAAGATTGTCTCAGGTTACAAAATAAAACATGACCTAATTATAAATATATGCAATATTCAATGAGTTCCATGGATTTAAGGAGTTTATTTTGTTTAAAAAATAAAGAAGTTAATTTCTTACCAATAGGTGTTACTTTTGAGATCTATTATCTAATATTAAGTTTTATTGATAAATTTATCAGTCTTGTTTATTTTTATGAATAGATTTATAGTGATAAATTTATCAATTAGGACCTGTAAATAAATAAATCTAGTTAATAGGACTAATTAGTAAGTATCTCTTGTTTTTAATTTGAAAAAAAATAACAATCAAACAATAAATACATTAGTTCAAATGATAAATTTTGTGTTATTTATATAGTTTGAAATAAATCTTATGTAAAATTATTAAGGTATTATTTACACTAACATTAATTTCAAAGATATGATTTCCTTGTAAGTATTTTATAAAAAAAAATAGATTTTATTTTTTATTTTTGAAAGAGTTAAGGCACGGAACATTGTATGGAAGTTTTAGATTTTGTTTATATTTTATTTTATCTAAAGTTTTTAGATCTTGTAGTGAAACAAATTTAGTTGTTGCAGGTTACTCTTCCCAAAAAAAACGAAAGAAAAGAAAAGAAAATTATTGCAGGTTTTCCTTTTTTATATCTTGTTTTGAATTGGAATAATAACATTTCTTCAAGCATAATGATTTAACCACCATAAGCATGTCCTTCACTTTTTTAAGCTTCTCATTGATTGAAAAAGGAACCACCCTTCTTCTCTTTTTCAAGCTTCTCATTGATTGAAAAAGGAACCATGATGGTGTTTTTGTTCCTTCATTTATCTCGCTTTTTTGCTGCTTCTGAAGAGCCTTTTTAAAGAAGGTATAGTTTAGGTACTTGGTAAGAGCATCCATAATGGATGTGTCAGTGGGTGTACTAGTGTCAGTGGCTAAAATTTGGGAGACATATAGTAACTTTTGTCTTCACAATGAAGTGTTAAGAAGTGTGTTATTGGGTTGTGTTAGTGTCAGTTGTTAATTTCTTTGTTAACTATGGCTAACATTTTAGCCAGCAAAAGAGAGAGGAGGGGATGTGGGAAGTGCCGTGGGGTTGTCTGGCTAGATGTTAGGTCAGTCAGTCTCCCGGATTTCTAGACCTTCAAGTAAAAAAAAAAAATTACAGAGTTTTTTTGGTCGGTCAATTGTTTTTTTTTTGGCCGGCCGACTGTGTCAGATGCTTAGTGAACAAGCAAAGGGGAGAGAGAGAGAAAAAAAAAAAAAAGAGAAGAGAAAGAGAGAGGGGCACTGAAAGTGCAGTGTGGTGGGATCTACTACATTTTTCAGTTCTTATTTATTTTATTTATTGTTTATATATATATATATATTCTTAACACATTCATTGCACTACTATTCACTCTCTAAAATTAACAAACTCTTTAACACACATTTTTGTGTCTCATTTTATCATTTTTTATCATATAAAACACTTTAACACACTTTTTTAAGAGCAGTGCCTTATACCCCCAGTGGGGGTCGCACCCCCAGTGAGGTGGCGCACCCCCACTGGCTGACAGTCCAAAAAAAAAAACAGCCCAAAAAAAAAAAAAAACAATTTTTTTCACCCCAATCACGGGCCGCCACCTCAGTGGGGGTCGACCCCCAGTGCGAGTATAATGCATTTTCGCTTTTTTAACTATCTTATTGTGAATGCTCTAGTCAGGCAATGGCATCATGGGAACGCAATTTGGCAAGTCAAATGATCAGGCAATGGCATCATGGGAACGCAATTTGGCAAGTCAAATGAGTACCACTGTAATATCATCAACTAGGATTGCAAATATGAATAAAAACAAAAAACAAAAAAAAAACAAAACAAAAAAATTAGAATTGCAAACAAATCAGACTATTGATCAATTTAGACTCAGCTTGTTAAAGGTTCAGTTCAGATTAGTTTGTTAAGTAAATAAACAAGTTTGGGTCTTACTTTGAACGAGCCAAACTCAACCTCAAATAAGCTCAGCTCATTTATTATTATATATTAAATAGTATAAAAATATGTATAAATAATAGTATAAATATATGATTTATAAGTTAAATAATATAAAATATCTTTATTTAAATAATGTAAATACCAGTAAAAAAAAATTCATTATCAAGTTTCCAGTCTAACTCAAATTTGATTAATATTCACGAGCTGAGCCGAGTTGAATTCGAGCTTGATTACTAATCAAGAAAAGTTCGAATTGAATAATCGAACTCGATAAACAGATAAGCCAAGCTCAACCTAGAGAGATTAGAACTTGGGCCTAATGACCCAAAATACTATGACCTAAAGCCCCTTCTTTTCTAATTATCAAATTTTCAACTTAAGAAAAATTGTACAAACCCAATATAATAAAATTATGAAAGAACATGTAATATGAATCCTTTGGGGCTCATACCATTTTCTCCATTTTAAGTTATTCTAATCATAGAAACTGTGAATATTGTTTTATAGTATTATCTTAATAGCACTTCTACAAATCTAATATATATATATATATATATATCAAAATTTGTAATTAAAAATTAAGATATATTTATAATGTCATCCCACAAAAAAAGTTCATTCTAAATCTGAAACTTTGGATAAATTTCTTGTCACTATTCTGGATGCCTAGACCTTCTATTATCTTAAATGAAGCAAGTATCATCCTTGTTTGGCAGAAAAGTAGTTGCATTTGTCAAATAATATGTGAGCCATTTTAGTTATCAAGGCATGCATGCCACTGAGGCCAACAATTGTTTATGGAAAAGGTTTGGTGTGCCCTTAAATTTGAATTGGACAAACTTTAGAGGCCACTTACTGCTATGCACTTAATGCCATTATTTTCATGTACACCCACCCTCTACATACCTTGCATAATTACCAAACCACTCCATATATATATAAAATATTTGACACCTCAAATTTCCAAAATAACCCTCTTTACTTTCTCTAGTTTTGGCCTAATATCATTTTACTACCACTAGTTTTGGAACAAAGCTGTGATTCGTTTCAATAAACACAGCCGAATTGGCTGTTTTGTTAAGGAAGAGACTTCCTTCTTGTCCACTGACTAGAACGAAGGGTTACTTGAGGATAAGTTGTTTGTTGTTTCAGGTGCACGATTATGTAATTGAATGTGATTGGTGAAAAATATGAGACTTATTGATTTCTATTGATGATGGGCGAATAGTAGAGGGCATGACAATTGGTGATTAATTGGGAATAGCGATACATGATGCCCTAGGGCATCAAATAATTGTTCCTCAGATTATAGGCCAACCCTAAATTCATCTTAATAATATGAACCATTTATATTTTTAGAAATTATAAATTAGCTTTAGGGGAATCCCGCTCGCACATATGCACCCCTTTGATATACATCTATAATGTTATGCAAATGTGTTACATTACCATAAAAATGAATTATATTATCATAAAACATGTAATTTCATTTCTAAATTATAAATTATCATAATTCTATCAAAAATATTTAAAATTTATTATAACAATTGTAACGCTCTCAAAAAAATAAGAAAACCCAATGACTAACAGTTCTATATACCAAGGTTGTTAAAATCGGGATCCTACGATGGATCGTTGGAGGTGTTTATACGATCGGATCGTAGAATCGGATCGAGAATCGTAAGATCCTACCGAAAAAGACAAATTACATAATAATTTAATTTAAATAAATATTTCTTATAAAGTATACACAAAATGAACCTATATTTTATTAAAAAGAAGTGAAGATATTGTGAAAAATATAATACTCCATGTAAAATGTACATATAATATTATGCAATAGAAAACTCGATGGTAAAAGTTCTGTATTTTATCAAAAAAGAAGGTGAAGAAGAAGAAGAATTCTATAACAAAATACTTTACAATGTACAATAATGCATAAAAAGTGAAGAAAAAATATTTAACAAAATTGGATATGAAAATAGATTAAGAACTCAAAAGAGTAGCTTAGTCGAATGATAAGGTTTGTCGTTAGCATCCCTGGTGGAGCAGATTCAAGTCACAAAAATAATCTCTCAAAAAATTGGGATAAAGTTGCAATCATCTTACCCTCCCCTAGTTTGTTTTTCTTAGTCTATTTGATTCAATACTACTTAATTTTTATTATTTATTTTGACAACATAAATTGATATTTAGACAACAAATATAAAATTTACAACAAAATATGTCATACAATACAAAACAAGGCTTGTAAATTGGATCGGATAGGATCGGATTCGGATCGGGATTCCACGATCCTATAAGATCCCACTACTAGGATCGAAAGATCCTACTTATAAGGAGTTTTTTACACGATCCGGATCGATTGTACTCAAATGGATCGTAAGATCATAGGATCGTAAGATCCGGATCGGGATTCTGATAACCATGCTATATACAAGGTAGATCGATTACATTTTCATACATACATCAGAGT